GTATGGGAGAACTTCCGAGTTCCGACATGATATTTGATACCCCAGCCCCACAAACGTCCGTTTCATAGAAATGGCATTCGGATACAATGGGTTTGATTGATAGGAGAGTGTACCTCGACTGGCGCATATGGGTATAAAAAAAAAAAATAGCGTGTTAGGGACGTGTGTCCTATGCGCATTTTACTTATTGTGGTTTCCATCTTCCTAAAGAAGTCCGGTGGAGAGGGCCAAGTGTGGATAGAATTTATTTTTTAATTTCATTTAGTGTTGAGTATACCTTGTCCCATGCCCTTGGCAGTATATTGTTTGAGATTGTATATATTGTGTATCGAATTCGATTTTTCGAATATGAGGTAATTTTTGCTTTTCTTCATAATGGATCACCGCTCGCATTGAGGCCACGACGACCAAGATGTCATAGAAAACCTAGGACAGACTATAAAGGCAATAATAAAGCTGCTCACACAGTCCCACACGACTCGTGTATTCGGCGATTATTCGTCAATTGTTATGCTTTACGAGTCGTATGGGATACGTTGATCGTAAAGCATAATAATCATTATTAATTTTRATGAGTTACTCGTAGTTTACCATCGGCTGTCGGTAAATGTGCCACGAGTCAAAAAAAAATAAAAGTAATTGTGGAATTTCCCAAACGACTCGTCATTGCTGGCCGCTCGTTTATAAGTGTATTATGAGAATTTAAATTATTATGTAATATTTTACGAAGGCACATATATACTTCATTCGTCCAGCCTGGAAGTACATTTTGATATACTTTTTTTTTTCCGTTCAAAAAACCAGGAACGGGTGGGAAATGTTTAGCACAATACTGCCACCCGGTCCCGTATCGTTTATTCGCCGTCAATTATCGTAGTTATTTTACATACGCGGGGGCCTCTACCCACCCTGAAAAACTGGCCTTCGGCCCACAAAATATAATAAAGTTTACCCTAACTGTCCACCCGCCTGTCTGGAGCGCTCTGCTTCCTCCTTTAGCCCAATAGTATTGTCTCCACCATCATGCCAAACGCTATCCTCTGATTATCCGCCAATGCCTCTATCCGCCTTCTCCTTGACCTGTCATCTGGGAGGAGCTCCTGCTCCGGCCCCAGAATGATATCAGGAACATCCTCGGGCCGTAGTCGCCGACCGATGAACATTTTTATAAAATTTACCATAATACCTACTATTATATGTGTTAGCAGTGTTGGGATTAGATAAGTACTTTTTTATCTAGATAAAGATAAATATAACAGGACAAAAATGTATCTAAATAAAGATAAAAGATAACACAATTCATATGTATCTAGATAAAAAAAAAAGATAAATTTTTTAACACATTGAAATCCAAAACATTTTAAGAGTACACCTTTGATACAATGATACTACTTACTGTACTTAGTACTATTAAATATTATTTTATAAACACCGGCTATATGAGTAAATTAATGTCAGCAGTAGACATTATTATTAATAAATAACTAAGGTATAACTGAAAAAAAAAAACATTTTTTTAATTAAGTATAAATATAAAGAAAAACTACATATTTGACACAACTCGTAACAATGGAATGTAGGTATATTTGATCACCGTGCCCCTAACGAAAATATCAATAATAAAATATGATACCTGTATAATAAATAACATTATTAAGAACATATTTTTTTTTTTTTTACCGAGACGATTCGACAATTCAAATTTAAAGTGTTGGCTAGTTATTATAAAAATAAATTGACAATCAAAATGTGTATTATTTTTTTTTGTATAGATATGAATTTATCTAGATGAATGAATTTTTTATCTTATTAGATAATTATTTAGATAAAATGCAACTATTTATCTAGATAAGTCTCAACACTGTGTGTTAGTAAGACAAAGTAACGCAAGCGAGTTTGATGTCCCCGTAATGGTAATAATTTCATCAAACATTGAAATATTATTATATCATACATATTTTTTGTCGCAGCAATCTAACGTACACAACATAAATTATTATTTTATTATGCATTTTAAAATGTCCATCGCATACTTACGTATTCCTAACTATTCCTGAATGTAGCTGTTCTTATATAAACTGCATATGAAAAGCCGTAGTAGTTATAACAAAATATTACTTAAGATGTTTAGATTTCCTACCGACGGTTCGGATGGTGTCGAACAGTCATTCAACATATATTATACAAAAGACGTCAGAATACTCAATTTAATTTTTATTTAATAATTACAATTAAGTAACTACCTACTAATCTAACAATGCAATATTCGATACAGAGATAGCGAATAGTACTCAGGGGTGGATGTGTAGGTKTAGTTACCTACTATATGTATTTATGCATTGTGGTTAAGTATTGCTTTATTGTACATATTATTATACATTTTAAATTCAGAGTTAATTTAAATTATGTATCTAAATGTCAAAATTAAAACC